TATTTTATAATTTCTCTTGTATATATATTCTTGTATCAAAATGCATCCATCAGATTTCAATGTTTTCCATAATACATGTGAGATATCTATAAGTGTTCAATTACTTTTGCGAGCCGCTATGTATATTCTAAAATTGCATCTCCCTGTGATTGAAATGATACTTGGTACATCATCTTGATAAATTATGTTTGACAATGTTTGTTCATTCGTTGGTGTCGTTGATACTCGTTTTGCGATTGTTTATCAAGTATAAACACGGCTTAATAAACTGTATGTGAGTACGTAGCGCGGTGGAATCGGCCTCGATGCTCGCCGAGAGAAACTCTTGCTTTAATCTGACTATACCGCAGGGTCAGACTTTTCATCACATGTACCGGAGAAGAAAACGGAATCGGAGAAATGTCGTACGCGTATATTTTCTAATCGATCTCCTCGGTCGGCCAGCACGATTTTCACTTTCCACTTCAGGCTTCTTTCTTGTCGTTCGTTTGATCATAATTTACGTTAACGTCTCGCCAGTTGACGTTCCCAGATTTAACGAGCCAGATAAAATTTTATCGACAGATATCTTATTTCATTAGAAGTATTTATCAGAGAAATTTGATCTAGATTTGCACTTCCGAGGGAAAGATTTAACCAGAATTCAACTGTCTGCTTTTTCGCTATTTTTCCAAGCATCCTACTGGAAACAGCATTTGTCCATTATTGATACTTGTCTCATTGGTTCAAAACTTTCGAACGTTGATGATTTCGAGAAATATCTTTCAGGTAAAACGATTGAGTGGCGAAGAAAATACATTTCCATTCTTGCTTAAAGCTACAACGTATTGAATAAATTTCGCGCGCAGAAGACAATTCGTTCATTAACGCCATCTACGAGTGTAGCTTCTAGCGTAAATTATGATCGGTTTGAATTGACGCCAATTTAATGGCGAAGTTTTAAAATTCTACTTCAACGTAGATATATTAATGTACGATTGTCCACAAAGAAGAAACGACAATATAAAGTTTAATTAAATAATCATGTGTATGAAATAATTAATGTATTCTCATAATATACTTACTATTATGAATAGTAATGTATTAAACAAATATAAGAATTGATCATCTTACAGCTTTAATGTTAACAATATAATTAAAATATAAAATTGATCATCTTTACTTTAACGTTAATAATATTTTCAATGATTATTTTTCGAAACTCTCCAAGGAAGACGATGACTATTTCATGTCACAATAGCAACATTTAAGACGCTACGGATACGACAGTTAACGGAGATCTGTAAAGCACAATTGAAAAACCCGTTAGATCAGTTTAGCTTCAATTAGTCTGTTTAACTAGGAAATAATTCAGCAGCTACTTACTTTGAAAGTTTAGTTTCTACGACGCCTTCGTTTTACAAGGTGTAATTAAAACAAGCAGGTAAACGATTCTTTTTATTTCGATACGTTTCACTGACCTTAGCGAGTTAAGTATATAAGCTGATGAAATGATTATTGTTTCAGTTATTCGTAACTTTTGCAGAACTCGTATTTGAAGGGTAAAAACAATATATTTTTTGTTTGTAATATTTCTAGAGAGTATGAACATACTTTCTCTTATCTCAAAAAATATTTAGTCTCTTGCATAATTCGTTATATTTCAAACGTTCTTCACGAGTAAGCTGCTTTATAAATGAACAAATAGAAACCATTAACATTTACATGTATTGAGCGAACGTATAATTTTCAATCCTTTTTTTTATATAACATTTCAAGTTCTAAATCATCCTTCTTCTTAAACAAATAGTTCACAATACTTTTCTTGCGATCGAAAGCGTGAAGACTTTCGCTGAAGAATTTCTTCTACGACGATATTACATAAACGATGATGATTGTTAAGTTTAACTAAGCGATTCATCTCGTCGAGTTTTTATCGTAACGTAATCTAAAAAGAAAAATATAAGAAATGACAGATAAGATTTCTATAAGCAGAGTATAGAGGGAGGAGAGCACCATGAAAAGAATGCCTCGGACAAAAAGATATTTTTGTCAGAGGCCATGAATGTCACGCCGATAATATCACAAAGTACGACCAGAATCGTTTTTGTTACCATATATATATATA